CGCTCTAACTGTTACAAGCCTTGCCATCAATGATTCATTTGTAGCATGCAACAAACATCTCGGCAAGTCAGTAATTGGTACACACTTGTCACAGTTTTCGCAATGCCACATTTGTCGCCACTTCACTTTGTTTCCACACAACACAACTACTTGGACATTGGCAATTTGCACGTGTATGTGTGAGAGCGCTTTTATGCAGCCCCATACACAACTGGAATATTAAGACATTCAATGAGTGCTGGCATTGGGTGGCAGGCAGAGAGTTCACATGCACACATATACTCACATACATTTATACACAGGCGCGTAGTGTATACAAAAATTGATGAAGGCTCTGTAGTCATCCAGCGACACGCACCAATGATTAAGTCAATTAGCGAAACCTGGCAGCTATGAATTCTTTTGATGAGCTTCGCGATTTTTACGCTCCCACACACAGTCACACGCATACACATCTGAAAAATAGACTTGCAGATGCTGGCGCATGTTGCCACAACGACTTGTCCACCTACTCAGGCCGATTGCCTATAACCGTGATAGGAAACTAAAAAAAACAGCAACAATAACAACAACAATTGCTATGAATAAATAGGCCATCATATGCCACATGTCCTTGACGATATCAGTCAACGGTGCAACATCAACAATGCCATCGACAGCGACAGCGACGACGGCTGCGGCAACGCCTATAGCTTCAACGCGACACATCGTTCGCGGCTTTGTGTACAGCTGAATGAGCCACTCTATGGGCACACAGCTGCGGTTGGGGTGGCGCAACAAAGTGGTGCGAAGCGGGCGCGCGCTCTTTGACGTGGCTGCAGGCATGGTTTTTGCATTTGGTGCCACGTAGGCCGCCCGAAATATGTCAATCATGAAATTGCGTGGCCTGGCTTCGATTTTTTCTGCTTAGTGCGGCATTTTTGTGAATATTTTTGATTTGGTTTTGCTGTCGAAAAGGTGCCTGTGATGGGCGCTTGTGGTGGGAGGGGCGTCACTTTTGCGATGCTTTTGTTTCCATTTTTATCACTTTTGCTGATGCGGAATTTTATCAGGCGCGGAAATTCAGCGCTTCCACGAACGTGATGAGTTTGCGCTGAGCGCGGGGGGTTCTCCCCACAACTGACAAGATTTTTAAATTTAATATTTTTTGCCTACGGTGATTCAACAAAATTGTGATGGAATGTTTTATTACAGATCATGCTTAATTGTTCTTATTTATTCGTTTGCACGGTGGTTGTTGGTACGCTATTCCGTATAATTTTTAAAATATATGTAGTTATGCTTTAGTTTTATTTACCTTCTGTTCTGAACATCTGACAATCATTTGATACATTATTTCTGAGTTGAGCTTGATCCGCTTCTACGTGAAAGGGTCAACGTCTAATCTGTGCATGGAATCTCTTTTGAGAAAATTGTGGCTCATTATTTTCGTGGCTCATTTCTGAAATTAAGTATATTGAATTATCATTATCGTAGACCATACCAGATTAGATACTGTTACTAGCGAGAAAGAATTTCCACTATGTAGGACAGCTCAAGTATAGAACGACATCGACTAGCCTGAAAAATATAGACATTTTCAAACTGAAAACCAGTATTAACTATATAGGTTTCTAAAGTATTATTAGATCTTCTTTAGTTTTAGTAATTAGTGGTAGTATAACCCTCATAACCGATTCTTTCTTCTTGCAGTTTGTGGATCTCGAAAGCCGATATATTTTCTTTATTTTCTTTAGCGTAAACTCAGACTCCTTTCAAAGTATCTTCAGAATCTGAACAGCTCATATTGCAATTTACTCAATTCAAGCTCTTAACAGCCTACATTTCATTCCAAAGCGCCGCTTAGTTGAGTTTGAGACTTTGAGTTTATCAAAACCGTGTAATTATTTTAAGTGAAGTGAGAGAAATTCTGAGTATATTTCAATGATTGAAATAGCCTTACTGAGAGCAAAGAAAGAAGAGCTGGATTTTATGTGATCGACCTTGGGTCACAATGATCTTGCGAGTGTGCTAATAGTAGCACAGCGCTGGCCAAAGCTCACGCGAAGCCCAGCTGTCCAGTGGTTGAACACGGAGAGAGCGAAGCACCGTGGCTTTCTTTGTCAGCTCTTCAGCTTTGCAGTTACCTGAGATTCCATAGTGGTCTGGCACCCATACTATTCCGATTACGAAATGCCTCGATTAAGGTTAATATCGGCTTGAAAAACATTACAGTGGTCAAGAAGTCTGAAGTTGATAGAAAGATCCTGACAATATACCTTTAAATCAATCTTCTTCATAATCTTTGACCCATCCGTAAATAAGCTCAGTGCCACTCACACCCAGACCTACACACAACTCCCACGCAGGTATGTGGGCAGATAAAGTATCTACAGAGTTTGGTTTTGGCAACTCCATAATCTAAAAAATCTGCTTTGAAGTCAAAACGTGCGAAGATATGCGAATGTTTAGAGACATGTTCATTTAGAAAGTTAGATTCTTTGAATCTGATCGCAACTTTTGCGATGTAGAATGGCGTTAAGTGCCATGATTGGTGTGGACCTTAGTGCACCACACACGCCGATGAGCGCCGCTCGCCAGCTCCCTTGCAAGCATCATCTTTTCTAGGTCCCTCCACCACACATGAGCCTCAATTCTTATTACCCGTTTTTCATTACAAAATGAGTAAACTCATGCAAGTGTAAATAGCTTTGAAATATTGGTGTTATCTATTTTGATGCGTTTCAAAATTTTCTTTGCACTTTGTTGAGTGTCGAATGCTCGCGTGTTTTGTGACGCCAATAAAAAAGAATAAAATGTGTAAATTAAATGTGTGATGCTTACGAAGTCAGATTTTTGCACGAAACATTAATTCCGCATTTCATATCATATATATGTATATATCTATGTGTGCATAAACTTTTCTGAAATACATTTGCGCCAGAAACACCAGTTCCCCTTAGCTATTACCTGAAAATTACAATTTTATGCTGAAATTATCAAGCAAACTACACGCATTTCTCTTAACACGATTTAATATTCTAACTTATGCAAACCCGTAAGTACGTAAGTGCGCAACTGAAGCGTGTAGAATGAAAAAGTGAAGTAGTGTGCACACACACACTGCTTACGACAGCAGCTAGCAGCTGAAACGCCATCACATTTTAGCAATTAAACTTTTGCAACTAGTGGCGAACACGTACTCAACTGCTCATTTACATATATAGCACCGGGTCCCGGCTACCCGGCCACCGACATCATTTTAATTTATAAAATAAGAGTGATGGCGCAAAATGCAAACTTTACAACTAAGTGTTGCACTTGACTTTATCGTCTTCGTCGATACGTTCGTTGTTTTCGCTCCGTTTTTTCTTCAGCAGTAATTTTTGTATTTGCTTGCTTGCCAAGTTGCATGGTGGCACGGCTGCGTAGCAGTTGATGTGCTGCAACAGCGCGGCTTGCCAGAAATGCCAATTTCGCAAGTTGAACGTCAACGCCATGTGCGCCAACGCATTGCACCCTCTAATCGAACCCACCTACCTCAGCGTGCGCTGCACTGCAGGCGTTGCATCAATCCGTTATTTGCATTTTTCCTATTTACATTCAGTGGCAAGTCGCAATTTTTTACCCGGCTGCTAGCACGCAAACACACACGCCCACACATCCCAGCTCGGTTGCTCGCCATTTTTTTCTGGCGGTCAGCGTGGTTTTGCTCCACCATTACTTGTTCGCTTAACAGTCCGTTTGCGCGCCGCCCACCGCCTACTTGCTTGCTACGTTGGCTGACCATTTATGCGTCTATTTTGTATGCAAAACGATTTATTGCTTTTCCGAATGACTTTCGACCAAAGTTTTTAGGTCGTTGCTCATACGCCGTGACGGTCAAACTATAAAACTCAGCTCAAGCTGAGCGCATGTGGCGTGTGTTCACTTCGTTGCGCTGTGTCGCTTTCCTGCGCAGTGCGGATGTATATGTGTGTGCCGCACATGTCCGTGTGCGTGCATTTGCATAACCTCTTGCCCCCCACCCGCTGTTTGTACGCCATCTAAGCCCATTTGCGCTACGTTGCCATGCGCTGCAATGTTGTTGCTGCAGCACTGCTCTTGCTTGGTTGCTGTGCGTTAATCCTTGTCGTGGTGTATATCACAGTAACTTTACATAACGGAAATCAATATTTTCCTCGAGTTAGTCGGTTCGTTGGCTTAGTTTTTTCTCTCCCTAGCTGCCTGTTTGTTGGCGTTGTTTTTGCGTCATTCTTTTTTACTTTGTGTTTGTTGGTGACATCCTTCCTTCCCGGTTTCCTGTGTGTCCAGTGTCACAGGCTGCCTGCCACGCTGCGTCCGCGCGCTCGATGTCACCATCGTCGGCTGGCATTTGCTCTGGCATTAACTCTGCCATAAGCACAAATAGTTAGCTATTCGCTTTGTTGCTGTTGTTGTTGCCGGTGTCAGCGGTTCGTTTGCTTATGTTGGTCGGCAAGGCGCATAAATCGCAAAATGCAAACTTCGGGGACAGGTCCTGCATCCTTGGCGAGCGCGTGGAGTGTGTCGAGATGTCTGCTGCAAGTCGAGTTGCTAGCGCTTTCCAATGCTTGTACATGTGTTCCTATGCATGTGTATGTGTGTATGTTTTTGGTGTTTGAGTGTTTGCCTCAGCCATGATTATGTCTAATAGATGTCTAAGTCAATCGTTGTTTAAACGTTTGACATGTGCTTGACTTGACGCAGACACACAAGTGCCCGAGTAATAATTTGCAGCACTTATTGTCTGATTGCGAGCGATTTGTTATACCACATATGTGGACTAGGGTGCTTGTGAATGGTGCCATTGGCGGTGCGTAGTTGCCTAGGTTTTGTGCAGCAGTTTTTTTTTGTTTCGAGGAATGTGTGATGCGAATTTGTGAGAAGCAGGATGCATTTGATATGCTTGAATGTAGGTGTGTAATGGTGAGCTTGTAGATATGTAAAACTGAATATAGGAGATGATTTACTAACATTATTATTGCTTACTTTTATTACAGATATACTCTACAACCAGACCAGCTTGAATTGCTTGCGGAAGTGCTATCAACAGCTATATTAAGGTCAGTCAAATTATAAAAAAATAAATTTGATGTAATTTTTACTATAATCAATTGCAAAAAACAGAAGAAAAAATATTAACTTCGGTTGTACCATATAACACCCTTCAGAAATAAAAAAGTTTCTCATAGAAGAATTTGATTTTGATCGGGCAGTTTGTAGCGCTGACTTTGGCAATAAGCTGTGACAAAAATGCTGTAGTCGTCCGATATCAGCGGTTCTGAGAAATGAGCAGCTTCTTGGAGAGAAAAAGAAATGTGTACACTTTTAGATCATTTACTTGAAAACTGAGAGACTACAGCGCGTGTACTAAAAAATTAAAAAAAAAAAAAATACAAAAATAAAATAAAATTAAAATAGTACAAAATAAGGAATTTATACACTACGGCGCATTCTTTCTGCTTAACTTGAGAGCTTATGAGTACTCAATTACTTATTATAAGCAGTAAAGGCGTTGCTACTACAAAATACTTATGTGGAAGTATACTTATACCATTGCTCCTCATTTTATATTTACCACCCACTGATACTATTAATATCGACTTACCATATTCTAGTTTTTGTTGTTGCAGCCAATTTATCTATGCTCTAAACTCAATGTGAATTTTCTCTTTTGGTGTTGAAAACCTAGTAGCACTTTAAAATTTAGATGCCAGGAAGGAGTTTCCTTCAGTTTTGAACTAATTTTAAGTGGTGTTAGCTGATATCTAGGGTTAAATTACCGGAAAGTTCGCCTGTAAACTTTCTTGCAGGTGTATGACTCTTGTATGCTCCATTTCTTTGGTCTGTGTCGATATATCATATATAGCTTTCTACATTGGTATGTGTTTAATTAATCACTAAGCACTTCAGGATGTCTCTGCTGAATCCATAGATAATTTTAGAACACTTGTGTAAAGGTAATAGCCATCAACCCTTCGCCTTCATTTATTACTGGTATCTAAAATAAACTTTCACTCTATTACAAGTATTTCCAGTTACTTCAAGTCAGTCAGTTTGACATCCTCGAATTACTTCGAAAATAATCTGTCGTAGGCTAATATCATCATTTCAGTGTTATGTTGAGAGTTTTTAAGTAGTGAAACTTAAAATACCTCTGTGTACTTGTTTGTCCTATGCTTCAGTTACACAAATATTTGAAGACCGAGTGCGAGTATAAAATAAAACATAAAGCTAAGCATGTTCCGTTAGTTTTTACTTTGTGCATACTTTGTGTCGACATATTACGTTTCTCTAACCTCCTTCACTAGGATTCGCTGTAAATATGAAACGTGAAACACATAAAAACCAAGAACAACAGCTTCTCACTCGTTTCGTTTCACCTCAAAACTTAACTCGAAAGTAATCAACTTGGTAAGAATTGTGTGGTTGTGATAACAAAACATTGCCTACAATTAGGTAATAGCGTAATCGAGTTTACTTTTAGCAAAGTTCCAAGCCTAAATCATGACATTAGGTAACCTCTCAGCCGTAATAATTAGGCTTCTCATTAAAGTTTGGTATTAGTTCAATGGATGAATATATTTTTTCGGCTGTCTGGAAAAAAATGGCTCAATATGAGATTTTCTCGATGCCAGCATTCCAAATATGGTTTGGTATCGACTCAGGCATTCGACCCACTTTGTTTTCTCTAATACCTGCTTTGTAGAGACCCTATATTGATTTTTTTCATATACGAGTACATTCATTCCAAGATGTCTAGTCGGTCTAAAGAATATGTATAATGACAGATTTGTGTTTTGTTCAATGCGCACAACTCGTTCCGAAATCGGTGGAAATTTTTCGAAATAATGTAAAATGTATAGGCATTCATATGAAGAAGGTGTTCTAACTACATTTTTACATTATTATTTTGCACTTGACTAATATCATTCCATATATTTTACAGCTGAATCTTAATTAACCGTTATCACAAATCAAATCAATAAATACTCGGCCAAAGGTTGTCAGGCTGTCAATAGAAATGAAGTTTATCTTCACTTGAAGCCCTTTATTGAACTCTGTATACCGATTTACAACAAAAACCGCAGCAAGCGTTCTATCCGTTCTCTCTCTCACATCACTACAGTAAACGAGCACAGGAATTCGCTCAGATAATAACTACTAACCCAATTAGAGGCGCTTAATCGAATAACACTTGGGCATACCCACACATAAGGGTACACATATACACGTGTATAAGTATGTTTTAAACAGACACGATCGTGTCGAAAATTTATTGGACTAAAAACATTTTGATACACTCAAAAAGTTTAGCCTGAGGCGAAATAAATTGCACAAAAGAAAGTCAAAAGTCAATATAGGCCGGCAACAGCTTCACCTGCATGCTATATGTGAATTAGTAAGTTGGTGCAACGGCAACAGGAGCAGCCAAAAACCGAAGCCAAACACACACTTGCGAACGCAGAGCAAAGTATACGCACACAAAAGCCGCATGACATAAAGAATCGTAGGCAGCCGCACAACATAAAATATAAACTTTGACACCCGACGCATTTGCTGCCGGTGCCCCGAAGCATCATATACACGCACACACACACACGCACACACACTTGCAGAATGAGCTAAACTCAAGCTGCAATGCACCAACGAGCAACTCAAGCACCATATGAATGTGCATACGCACACACGCACACGCAGGCATACATCAATTGCGGCACATTTACACTTATGCGCCTACTACATATGTTCGTATATGTGTGTGTGTGTCTGCATTTGAGTTGGCTGCCGTCTAATATAGCCTACTCCCAGGCTGATCATAAATTTAAGTACCGCAAATCAAATTCAATTGTGTGAGAGCAGAAATACCCGCTTGATTTGAGCACACCCGCCGGCCGCCATTCTTCAGCTTCAGCATCAGCAGCGGCAGTGCCAAACTCAAATTACAACAAATTCTCGCCTCCAACGTTTAAAACCGAAATTGCCATATAAATGAAGTACTTACGATCATTGTATGCTGAAGCGGTGTGTAGAGAATAGAGCGCCGCCAACGGGTGTTATAGTATCGTGAGAATGTGTGTGTGTTTGTGTGTGGGCTGTGCTGGTTGAAGAGGTGGCAAAGTTTGCTGGCATACGCTCCACATAAAATTGAGTGCCAAAAATTGTTAAATGGGGCGTACATGAAAACTAAATTCACACACACCGGATGCTTGCCAGCGGCAAATGTGTGGGTGTGTGTTTGTGTTTGTGTACTATAGCTGCAATATAAGGCTTTGCTCTAATGAAAGGCCGAATGAATTTTTAAATTTTGCGCTGTGCCAACGGGAGCCACAATATATTTTTCTTGTTCTCGTTTTATGTTGCTGTTCACACTTCGAAGGCTAAGCAACAGACGTTGGCTGTGCCAGCAGCAAACAACGTGAAGACGGTAGTTAGGTAGATTGGCGGTAATACAATTCTAAATCTACAGTGTGTCTGAAGAGTGTAAATTACAATATTATAAAATTCGGGAACACAGTTGTTTAATAATAAATAAGAATAAAAGTTAACTTCCAAACTAAAGTATTCTTCAAAGGTGCATTTCTTATAGCATGAAATGTAAAAACGAACCAGTTCGCGTATATACAAACAGACAGACGGATAGATAGACATGACTAATTGGGCTTTGTTCGTCACGTTGATCATTTATATATATATACTTTATAGGATCTCCAATTTTTCCTGCTGGGTGTTGCAATTTTCGTGGAAAACTTAATATACCCTGTTCAGGGTATAATTGGTTGTAAAATTAGAGTCGAAATTGAACTTGAATTCTGCAAAGGCTAGGCTTTGGATAGCAGTGAATGCTGGTTTTTTGTGACTTTCAAAACCTGGATATGCCTTAACAGACCTTTATAGATCGTAGAAACGTTCTGAGCTGATCACAAATCTAATTAAGGGGTCTAATATCAAGCCCAACCATTTTACCAAGTTCACCGAAGAAGGAGATGCTTCAACCTCAGCCTGACAAAAGCTGGACAGTTGTGAAGAAAGTGTCTAGATAAATTCTACTTATTGAACTTGAATAACTTGAATTTCAATCCAGCTTAAACGGATCACCTCGACAACATTCACTAAAAATTATTACGATGATTAAAACTTATATACTGAACCAAAAGTAAATTAAATCAAGCCGTACTATAAACAAGTGTTTTTACTCTCATCCTAATATTTTTCCTTCCAAATAATTGTAACTTAATAAATTTGGCTTCCTAATATAATAATATTGATATAAGTTCTTGATAAAGAATACTTGTAGAAGATTTTTCCAATAATCATAGCTTTCATTCGTTGCCTGGGAAAGTTTCTATTTTATTATGAAGCGTCCGTTTTTATATTATCCACCATAGATTTCCTGAGCATCATTTCTAATTGGTTGAGGTGAGTAAGGTGCTTTTTCTAATCAAAACCGAATTCGAAAGTCGGCATTATCTATCCACCGAAGACAAACCCTTTAATAATATAAATCTATGCATTTTAAGAGTTTGCTTTGGCCTTTAGTTTAGATCCATAATTGGGAAAATTCTAAACTCGACTGCTGAGAGTCAATTCGCGGAGTATGTATTTGAAAAATCATTGAAATGGATTTCATAGTTTTTTCTTTAAAAGCGTATGATATAAAAATTTTGAAACTAAGGAACTACTTATCGATTTTCAAAGCCCTATACTTATATAATATATGATACTTGATTTACTTGATGAATCTTGTGGCTAAACTAACAGATGGTTTTGGTTCGGAATATAAAAAGTCGGAATGAGATTTGGATCTGACCATAAATACAATTTCTAAGACGTATTACTTGTAACGAAACATTCACGGTTTCCTTTTCGAATACAGAAGTATAGCTGAGAAATGAAACTGGATATATGATATTTATATAACTGCATTATAACGATGTCATAAAAGACAAACCAACGCAGCTTATATAATATAAATTTCTCATACCAAGGCACCAGATTCTTTCCTTATAATCTTCGCCTAAAGAGTTTCAAGAAACCTAAGTGGACGAAGTTGCTTATATTA